GTAAGCGCATGCACGAACGCTCATTTCCCCATGTCGCTTGGATTCGATCAAGTACGCAATTTGGCCAAATCTATGCAGAGATCGTAGGACCGGTAGGACGGTCATGAGTGATCTAGTGTCGCGTCATCGCGCAAATCGAAAGTTACTCTCACAACATAGGCCTACGTCCCTTTGGGACTACATTCAATGCAGTAAGCCACCTTTTAAATATTATAAACCTAATTATCTGTAAAACTTGTACGTCATGACCTTGACATTGTAGTATAATGCACTCGTGCAACAGAAAACAATCTCACAACATACACTGATTTGGAAATACAATTATAATTTTATAGGTAGTTTTAAAACATGAATTTGACCTTGACCTTGTAGTATGGACGCACGCAAGTCTATCTTACAACATACGATGACTCTGACGCTGACTACATGCAGCACATTGTAAAGTCATTGTAAAGAGTTTTACAATTATCACAAGTTTTGTAAAACTTGAATATGACCTTGACCACGTAGTACCATAAACGAACGCAATAAAAAATATTCTAGCCCCAAAACCGGGAGCCCTTACTTCGTTCGCAAATGTGCTTACCGGGCCCACACAACATTCAAACTGTGCCGCCCCCTATGATATGAAATAATTATAATGTTATGAAATGTGTGTGTTTTGGGATGATAGTAAATTGAACACGCTTTGGAAAGCTTTCGTAAATTAGGATACATTTGCATATAAAAAGGACATGTGACAACAATGTGATTACTAAGATTGTATCCCCCCATCATGTTTTAAAAAACCCTTGTTTGGAATGTTCAGATTGTCTAACCTACTGTTAAAGTAGTGCTTCCAATTAAAAAAAAATAGGGCCTGGCTCTTATTTTTTTATATTTAGGCTAATTTCCATATGAATGGGACTTGTGATTAAGGTGAGATTTCTTATATTTGATTTGCTCATTATGTGTTGTTTTATAAAAGAACAACTTTTTTTGCAATATGTTCATAATTTTCTAGCCTGGACAAGGGGCGTGGTCATTTTAGGACTGTTCGTACAGGACACTGAAGTTGGCACTCTCATGTGTGGCATGGAAAAATAAATGCAAGTGCCTTTAAGCAAGCTCTCCTTAAATACAATTATAAGAAAATTTAAGTTACAAAGTTGAAGCTACTTCATCGATACATGTGAATAACCAAATTATAAATAATTAATAAATGAATTGCTAATATATATAAATTATAATCATTATAATCAGACACGATATACCAAAATCGCGTTACCATTATCTTTCAAAAAACATCCTTATATACTTTACCTTAAATTATTACCTTACCTTATATGTATAGAAAATTCCAATATTTAAAGATTATTTTTTTTATACATTTTCCGTTCTTGCATTTTCTTATATTGTATTAAAATGAGTTGTATTGAATAAGTTGAAAACAAAAGGTAACGAAGTACAATAATCCGTCTTGCTATGCGTAAATCTATCCGTTTTTTTTCAAAGCCAGCCTCCTGGTAAAAAGCATATTTGACGAAAACATCGAAAACATTCAAAGAAATACAAGTGGTTGAATATTTAAAAAAAATAAAGAATATTTAAAAAACTAAGGGACCTTGTCCCCTAGTTCTTAAATATTAAAAAAATATATAAGTCTATCATATTAACCGTTCTGAAATCTTTCTTCAAATATGCTTTTTGTGTCTATACCAAAAATTGTTTTCTCCCTCCGGAGCCTGGTTTAATATTGGTTTTTATGTATTTAATTTTTATTTATACATTTTCATAGCCTATTAACATTAAATGTTCAACATATTTACATGACTTTCTGTCTGCAAAGATGTAAATATCTGATGAATAATGAAAGCAAACAAAGAAATATCAATACAAATTGAAATGCGAAATGCTTCACGACTTACTTTAAGTGGTAACAGAAATGATATATTTCATAGCTTGTGAAATGTTACTTACAAAATTTCAAGTTTTTCCAAGTCATTAAAGACACCTTGTTGAAGCTCAGTTATTGCGTTACTATACAAATATCTTTAAAAAGAAAACAAAGGATTGCGATCATCAAGCAAATGTTTTATTGACTTAATAAAGGGTTGAATATGTGCTAAATAACAATTGTTCCAGTCAAGAAGTGTCCCCTTTCCTTTTTATGGGTGGGGTTCATAGTGTTCAGATATATTTCTATTCCGCGTTTCAATAGCTGATAAATATGCAAACGTAGAAAAATGTAAGCTTGGTTCCCACTAGAACGTAACGCATCGACGCAGACGCAACGTACCAACGCAAATTGACGCAACGCGAGGTTTTTGAGCGGCTTCCGAGTGGAAACCGACGACGCAAACACCTTTTGAGCAATAAACCAGAATTTTCTCCCCTTTATGAATGAGTGAATATCAGTGTTTAGGCCTACAGCGTGTTATTTCGTAAACCAATTTTGTCAATTTTTACCCTTAACAATTGTAATTTCTTTTTCTTTGTTGTTTGTGTATTTCATATAGGGTTATAATCCACATTAAAACATATTACTCTATTCATGCTACATCCATCTAATAGAAAGCTCTAATGAGATTGTTGTTAAATAAACTAGTATTTGTTTACCGGTAACTTTTCAGGACATTTCACATACATAACACATATTTATCACATTATACTATTTCAAACCATTTGAAATAATAATAATAATCATAATAATCATAATAATAATAAAAATAATAATAATATATATAAAAGGATGACAAAATATTCTCTGTATCTACTGGAAACGAGCCACATAGCTTGTATTCCAGTATTTGCATTCACACCTGGGCTGTGTATATATATTGCCTTGGTTTGGCTCTGTAATCATTAGTGGTCGTGGACTAGTTTGGGCCATACCTAAGCGAACGTTTCGTTTGGGTCTATACCCTAGCTGCACTGATGAGGCCTGGAAGGCCGAAACGGATCCGTCTGCAGATATTGGGATTCCTTCCAGTGGATGGTTAGTTTATTTTGTCATTCTGATCGGATTTTCTCTACTGTTCCGTTTTATTTTAT